TGAAACTCCGACGAAACAGTTTGTCACAGCCCCTCGTTTGTTGTCCTCTTCTCTCTCTCTGCCTACGGTTTACTGGGCAGTTCTATTTGTGACGATATATATATATATATATATATATATATATATATATATATATATACAGCGCGTCTCGACGCGCGAACTTTGGAGATAGGAGAAGAAGAAGAAGATGAAGGGAAGGAGAAGGAGAGAACAGGGGAGAGGTAGACGAGGGAGAGGACGTGATCTATGTCAGGATTGAGAGGGGGCGGAATAGGTGGAAGAAAAGTGGCCATCGCCGTGGGAGTCGCCGACGCTCCCTCTGAATGGAAGTGATGCTGGACGAACGATGGGTAGAGGAAGGCTCTCGGCACATGGGATAGGACATGTGGTGCCAGATCCGCCACTGCTCGCACCACCCGCTTGCGCACCGATCGGGGCCCCGAACCCGTCATCACCACATGAGTCTCGGTGTAAGGCCGCCGCTCCCGCTTCTGCGCCGCGAAGACCAGGAAGTGGTACATCGCATTGGGATGCTGCCCAGTCTCGTAGATGAGCGTCCCAGCCAATCGTGCCGCAATACACCCTTGAAAAGGGGGTGTCAGATATGGCTCCCACGCCGGATCAGGGCGCGGCGCCCCCGCGATGGCCTCGAGCCTGATGGTGGCGGGCTCCACCATGAAGTCCACCTCGGTCGGATGGACCGTCCGGCTCGGCTGAACTACTAATGTCAATGACCGGGGCAGCCCGGGGTGGCTGGCGGGAACGGAGAGGTCCCGCGAGGACGGGGGGTCTGGATATGGGATCCGGTAATCCCATTCGGCTTCCTCCTCCGGCTGCTGCTGCTGATGATGGCCCGGCTCCATCACGGTTGAGATCGGGCACATGCGGAACGGGCGGCGATGGCACGACAACCTCCTTAACAAGCGTCGCCGCACTCCCAGGCACGGGGTCCGGATTCCGCGGACGTGTAGACTGAATCACCTCCTCGCCGCCGCCGATCCTGCTGCCTTGCGCCCCTGGCGATGGGTGGTGTCTCTTCCTCTTCGGCGTCTTCTTGGGGGCCTTAGGTGGCGCCGGTCGGGGATACGACGAGGGAGGCCGCAACGGCCTTTCCTCCGGGAAGTCCTCCAATCTCTCCGCGCGCTGTGCAATGTAATCCGGGATGACGACCGCCTTGTACGTTCTCCGTGGGGCCGTCGTCGTCCGCAATCGCGGTTGGATCTCCTCCTCCTCACTCGCGATCACCTGCGCAATGGAGAGGAGCTCAAGGTGTATGAGCTCCAACAATCTCGGATCGATCGTCTGGAGCTGGGCGAATGGGTACAGCGCGACCGTCCCTTCCTTCTCCGCTGGCTTGGGCCGCGTGATGACGTAGTAGACGACGAAGTGATCCCCGATGCAGTGGTCTTCGTGCTCCACGAAGAACCGGAACATCCCCAACGTCACCGACTTGTACAACGCTCGGTGCAACTCCCACGCGTCTTCGTCGACGAAAGGCAGCGGCTCCACGTCAGTTAGCTCCACTAAATACTTCGAGAACTCGCGCATGGGATAAGGGTCCTCCGTGAGCTGGTAGGGGAGGGTGGTGTAGGACAAGAAGGGAGGCATTTAGTACGGGACAGGGGGAATAGCTTGGAAGTTGAGAGGAGCAGCGGGAGGGAGAAGCGCGGGGAGCTGCGGCACCAACGCAATCGGTTCGTCCTCTGCCCTAGGCAGCAGCACCTCATGGGCTGTGAATCGGTGTCCCCCCCGTCCTTGCAATTTGGCCACTGATCTGGCCGCTTCCATCGCGTATTCGCGCACAAAGTTGCGTGCCGGCTCCCGATTCGGCTGCGGTAGGATCGTCAAGTCTCCGATGAAGGTGGCGACGCTGTGCACGAAATTGGGTGCCACCTGGAGCGCACAAAACTCAATGAATACTCGGGTCGTCTCCCGGCCAGGCAACTGCGTCACGTCCACGTACACCCCCGCATACGTCAGCCGATCCCAAAGCAACGAGTACGCCGCCAAATCCGCAACCCTGGGCGCCGGCATGTTCACTTGCTGAATGTCGTACCGCAACTGCCTCTCCTCATTGAATCGATGCCGCAACAGGCGATCTGCAAGCGGCGTCTGGAAATGCTCGAGGGGCTCATGCTCCGGCTGGCGATGTTTCATCCTGCTCCCTTAAACTCTCAACACCAATGGACGAGGCAGATCGGGAAGAGGAGGAGGATGAGGATGAAGAAGGAGAGGGTGATCTCGCAGGAGCGGGGGTCCGCAGGGGACCTAGCGATGGCTGGAAAGGCCGGAGCGCGGCCACGTGTCGTGTCAGCGGTCGGGCCTGGGAGTTGTGACGGGGAATCAGCTTCACGAAGTGCTGTCCCTGTGCGCCAACTTCCGTGACCTCGTAAATGCCTGTATAGCGCGGGTGGATCTTGGAGGAGCGCGCAAATTTCCATACCTACACCAAATCCCCAACTTTATAGCGGGGCAGTGGTCCCGCCGACGCGTGTCGATTCTCGTAGTCACGGATCTGCCGTTGATGTGTCCGATCTACGGCCTGCAACTTCCGTACCTACTAAGGGGGACAATTGCACCCGAGGGACACTATTGGTTCTCAGTTGAAAGGGGGACACCCCAGTACTACCGTGTGGGGTAGCCCGATAAACGGCCAAAATGTGGTCGACAATGACCGGCCAGGGTCGGGTGTCTCCCGCAGTGATATTCCGTCTAAGGGCTGTCTTAATCAGTCGGTTGGCATTCTCTACCAGGCCATTGGCTTGAGGCCAATGCCTCGGCGAGTAGATAATCTTAACGTCTGCCCTGACTAGGTGACGTTCTACTTCGCCTTGAAATTCCGACCCATTGTCCATGTGTACCTCTTCTACGTCTAGATGCATGCACAAAAACCGATTTACGTACCAGGCTACTTCCTGCGAATTCCGGCTGGTCATAGGGTACGCCTCGATCCATTTTGAAAAATGATCGACGGCCACTAAAAGAACATTGAGTTCTCCCTGATCGACGGGCCATCTCGGAACGTTGATATTCGTCGTATCAATGCTAACCCTCTGAAAGGGGCGCTCTACACGAGTGGGCACCATCGTCTGAGGCATCTGTACCGGCGCCTTGTCCGCCGCGCAGGCCGGGCAATTCTGAACGATGTATTTCACATCTTTCCGAATTCCCGGCCAGTACCATCCGTTCTTTTCGATGGCTTTTTCCGTGTACTTGACCGCGAAATGGACCGCATCCTCCTCATGAGCGGCTCGTGTCCAATCGAACCTAGCAAGAGGGTGTGGAACCGTCAACCAGCTAGACTCTCCGTCGTCATCGACCTTCCGTTTTTGTAACGTCGGGCCCTGCCAGCGATAGTCCTACGCCCGCTCCGTGACTCTCCGCCGTTCGGCTTTGGTAAGTTCTGATAGCGAGTCGCCTGACAGTCTCCGTAGCAGCAGGAGGTCCGTCCAGGCTTCTGCCCGGCGGGCACTTGGCGCAAATCCGTCGGCTGTTCTAGCGTCCAGATACCGCTTCTCGGTAGGGGCTTGGTCCGTTCTACAGTTGGGACAGACCCACGTCTTTTCACTTCGGTACCTAACGCACTGTCCGTGAGATTTGACCGTATGACACTAACTACACTATACCCATAAAAGAAAACTGGGCCCTCCCGGATGTGACCCTTCTTGGTCCGGGATCATAGGCAAGGTACAGAAGAAACAGGGACTTAGATGTGTTTCAGAGGACGAGTTGGGGCTAGACGAGAGAGTGCGGGAGTTGGATGAGGGCAGAGAGACAGCGTCGGCCATCTCCGATGAAACCTCCATTCCGGACTCAGGCGTCGACCTTACGCAGCACGTGTAGCTCCCTGTAGTGCAGTTTCATCGCCGCGACTTCTGGCCTCCACGGAATGAGTCGCTCGTTGGTGGGACACTTGTTGGGCAGCAGAAGGTGCGTTAATCCATCGACGTTACCATGCTACCGCGTGGCACGGTGGCGGATGTCGAAGTCATAGTCTTGCAGACCCACTGCCCACCTGCCCAGTGTCCCCGTGTAGTCCGTGTTGTTGCGTAGGGACAGCAGCGGCTGATGATCCGTTACCAGCACGAATTTCTGGTCGTACAGATACGGTCGGAAGTGATGAATCCCCCACACCACCGCCAGACATTCGCCTTTGCATGCTTCGTAATTAGCCTGCGCCTGGCTCAGCGTCTTGGACGCATACTCAATGACGTGCTCCCTTTCGTCCTTGCCGTGCCGAGTCAGCACCGCCGATATCGCCTGAGGCTGCCAGTCTGCGTACAGTGCGAACGGTCTTGTCGGGTCGGGGCGCGCCAACACAGGAGCAGATGTCAGAGCCTCCTTCAACGCCTGAAACGTCGCTTCGCATTCCGGCGTCCAGATCAGCTGTTCCTCTTTCTTCAGCAGGTTCGTGAGGGGCTTCGCTATGCCGGCGAACCCTTTGATGAAGCGTCCGTAATAGGATGCCAGCCTTAGAAAAGCCCGAACCTGGGTGAGTGTGACCAGCGCCGGGGCGTCTTGAACTGCTGCCACCTTCCTCGGATCCGGTTTTAGTCCATCGACCGTGACGATGTACCCCAAGAATGAGATCTCCGACAAGAAGAACTCGCTTTTCTCCAAGGCCACTTTGAACCCCGCATCTTTCAGTGCATGCAAAACCCACTCAATGTGTTCCACGCGGTACTCGTGTGTTTTTGAAAAGACCAAAATATCATCCATGTACACAATCACGCAGAAATTGATCAGGGGCTGGGTTAGTCGGGTTTTGTTAACGAACTCAGCGAAGGCCATATTCATGGCCCGCTGAAACGTTGCAGGGGCGTTACAAATTCCCATGGGACACCGGACCCATTGCTACGTGCCCTCAAATAGGACAAAAGCGGTTTTGGGTCGGTCCTCCTGTCGGATTGCGACGTGGTGAAAACCATGTCAGATATCGAACTTGGAAAAGACTCGAGCGGCCCCGATAGCATCTAACAAATCATCGATTCGCGGCAAGGGATACACATCTTTGGTAGTAATGGCGTTCAATTTCCGGTAGTCGATACATACCCGGACCGAACCATTTCGTTTTGGCACGAGGACCACGGAAAAAGACCACGGTCCCAGCGATGGTTCGACCCACCCCAACCGCTCGAATTCCCGTACCATTTCCAAAGCCAGCCGTCTTTCTTTAAGGGAATATCGGTACGGTCGGTAATGTATCGGGACATGATCCCCAGTATCAATCGCATGCTGTATCAAAGGGGTTAGCCCTATGTCGTGGTCCTGAATACTGACGGCCTCAGGATAGGCCCGTATAACCGCCAGGAGGAGGCGTCTGTATTCATCCGGAACACGGGTTGGTAACTGAACTTCCACAGTTCCCCCAGGAAGGGAGACCGTCGTCGTAACCGTGGGGACCGCCGCGCTGGCATCGGGCGAAGCCCCAAACAAGGAGTTGTCGGTTTTCGCCGAAAGGACAGTCGCAATGAGTTGACTGTCCGCCGGACTCATCGGCTCGCTTTCCATGTCACTGTCCCTATCCAGTTCGGGTTCGGCCGAGGGTTCGACCGAAAAGGCCTGCGGCAGTTCCCTCGGTCACCACTGATACTCCCTTGTTCGGGGTTGAAATGACACCCCCTCTTTCAGGAGTATCGCGGCTTTTTCATTCGTGAGTAGGGGCCGTGGGGGTCGAAAAGATAAATCGCACAGCCCCCTCAGCTCGGTAAATCTTTCAGGTAGTGGGTCTGTCTTGAGATACAAGGATGCAGGGGGTTCCGAAAGGTCAGCTATTCGGGACACCCTCAGCAAGGGTTCCCCCTGCACCACGGAGGAGAACCTGTGCGACCAATTGGACTCGCTCCGAACTATTTCCAGTGGTTCTCGCCGCCAAGAATGGCGCCACCGATCCTGAACTCGGATCGGATATCGGTCGGGTACATCAGTCTTGTCAGTTTCCGTCGAGGGTTCATTTTCGTCTGGTGACAGGCGTTAGATCATGTTAATTTGATGGGCCTTCGTGGTGAGGCGAGGCGCCGGCTGGGTACGCATGCGCACCGCCAGTCTCATAGGTATCGTTTGGGGTTTGGGGTGGGCCGATGTGAGCACCACCTTACAGCTGTCAAAGTGCATTCGCGCTCCAACCGCCACCTGCCACGGAATGCCTAGCAGAACATCATACGCCTGTACATCCAGCACGATCACAGCACACAAACAATGCACCCGCCCCACCCGTATGGGCACGTTCGTTATTTGCCCTTTACAATGAATATTGTCTTCCGTAGCGGATATATACAGCTCATCCGGTCGGAGGGGTTGAACCTGTCCTTCCCTTCCCAACTGTTTCGTCAATCTCCAAGAAATGACGACCTCCGACGATCCCGAGTCTAGGATGGTGGTCGAGGGGTTTCCCCAGCCCTCGCAGTCACACTCAACGCTTTTCCAGGTTATAGGATAGGCTCGGAGGAATACCTCGGGTTTTTCCGAGGCAGAGTCTACGGTCTGGATCATTCCTATCCGGTCGGCTTCGTGCACCTTTGAGGTCGAGGGCTGCGACTCCTCGTTTGTGGGTAGGTCTCGTAGGACCGGCTTTTTGCCCTTTCGACTTTCCTCGAATGGGCGCCTGTTTTTGAGGCACCGTTCGATCAACTTTTCGTTAGCCGCTTCGGAAATGGTTAGCAGATAGGGAATAGGGACGGGGATCCGAAGATCCAGAGCCTTCAAGGCATCCAATACGTCGATATGGCCATCCTTGTATTCAGGGCCAGGCGCCGCAAGGTCTTCGAACCCTGGTCGCCACGGCCCGAGGTCGCTTTCCTCAGTAATTCGTTGGACGTGACGTATCACTCCGATGGTCCCGGGTTCGATCAAAGCCACAACCATGTATTCATCGGGCCCTATCTCGGTGGCCGCAGGGGTCACCATTTCCGTTGTCCCGGTATCCATCACCGTGGCCACCCTCCCCTGTCCTGCAGCGGTTGGAGCAGCCAGCGGGATTTGGGAAGGCCCAGCGGGCCCACCCTGAGCTCGAGGTTTCGGGCAATTTTTCGCAAGGTGACCTGGCTGATTGCAGTTATAACAGCGTAGGGACTGGACAGCCCCAGCCACGGCCGGTCTTATCATAGGGGCCCCGGCGGCCATAGCCGCTTGTTGCCGTTGTGCGGCGGCTAGGCGTTGCCGCTGCAGGCCCTGAACAAACTCCGTCAACGGGGCCACTACCGTAACTAATTGGGCCGCGACCTCCTTCATGGACACTTCTTCCTCACCCCGGCCTCCTT